TTCCGGCTGAATTTTGATATGGCATTTCTCATTTCCATTGGTCCTCGTCGGTGCTACCACGCTTGCCCGGGAAAAAAGTCAGCGCGGATGCAACCTGTCGCAGTCTGCTCATGCAGAACCCTTCCACTCTGTTTGCTTGACAAATCAGATCAACCTGTCGCCAGGTTTTGCCGCCTGGGAGGTCCCTTGCGATGGTTATTGGTGTAATGGCGACGTTGCCCCTTTGAGAGAACAATTTTGCTGCAGTCCGAACACCCAGCTTAGTCACTCCTGAGAGCTCTGCAGATGACATCGAGATCGGTGAATGCGCCGGTTCGATCCTGGATCAAAGAGACGCGCCCATGTCCGATGCTTCGCGTGACTTCTTGTCGCTGGGAGAAGCTTGAAGGCTGTGTTTCTGTATCCGTTAATCTTAAGAGAAGTTGCACTGCTGCCTTGCAGGCAATCCGGTTCGGATCTGTCGTCGGCGCTGTCAAAATTCTAACTTACTACAAAGTTTGAACGCCCCAAATCCTGGGGTGGCTCGAGTAAACAACCGAACAATTCGCCAGAGGAATGGCCTTGAATAACCTTGCGATAATCTTCCAATAGTGGAGCCATCTATTGTGCGTGGACAAGGAGGAGGACAGGCATAAAAAGCTCGCAAGGTTTTAAGGAGTTGTTAGTACATACATACTATACATGGACATGGCCGTATCCTCTCCCCTCATCCGCCGAAGATATGGAGGTCATATTCCGACTACCAGGGGAAATATTCAACCTGGCCGTCGCAGATCCATCAATCCCGATGCCAGTCACAGAATCCCCCGTCATCGCCCCCGGAACTAGAACTGAGTATGGTCGTCAAGTTCCGAACCGCCTGGCCTGCGCGAATGCAGACGGGGGAGCTTGTGGAAGATGTGTTATTCTATCTACGCCCCGCATCGGTCCTGCAGTTGCCTGTGCCTCGCTCTTTGATTTCGGATTCGGTTTAGGCCGAAGTGTTACTTTTAGCATGGCGTTCGTTGTCTTGCTCGCGCAGAGAAAGGGGGGTAAGTTCTCGATATTTGATCTCTTTCTTCCGGGTTTGTGTTATCCACCCGTCGGAGTCTGCCAAATAGTAGATAAAAACTACGAAACAGGAAGATGCTCCACTTGACTCCTCAAGAGGCTATCTCCTTATCACCTTTCCTCCACCTGAACCATTAATTGTTCAACTCGCTCTGTTATATACCGAGTCCAACAGCACCCTTCCCACCCTCCCACCATATCGCAAATTCACTATAATCAACTGCCCCAAAATGTCCAATCCGAAGCCCACAATCGCTCTAATCCACGGCGCCTGGCAATCTCCCTCCGTCTGGACCTTCGTTACCCCCCTCCTCGAGAAAGCAGGCTACTCCGTCTACCCCATCCCTCTGAAATCACCCGGTATGGTCCCCGCTTCTCCAGACTTTAGCTGTGATGTGGATGTCATTGGAAGCGGCGTCGAGGCCATCCTGGACACGGGCAAGGATGTTGTGGTCGTTATGCATTCGTATGCAGCCGTGGTGGGATGCGAGGCGTTGAAGCGGTTTCATGGGGAGATGTGGGGGTGTGAGAGTGGTGGGAATGGAATGGAAAACGATTGTGCTGATGCCGGTGCTGGAACTTCGAAGAGAGATCTGGGTGCAAAATTGAAATTCAAAACGGTGGGTGGGAATGGAGAGCGGGATATGGAGACTGCGAAGTTCATCCCCCGCCGCGGCCGCATCTTGCACCTCGCCTTCATTGCCGGGATGGTCGTGCCAGTGGGAAGGGCCCTGTGGACGCCTGACAGAACGGAGCTGAAAGGATTCGAGTTGAAGGTATTAAATGCAATTTATCTCTTTCAACCTTTTTATTTTATTTACTCTTTGCGTATCTCCCCCTCCCCTTTCATCCATCACGATAAACACAATCTAACAAACAAGAACCAGGACGAACTAATCCGCACCCTCGACGGCGCCACCCGCTTCTACATCGACCTCCCCGCCCCCGCGCGGGAATTCTGGTCCAGCAAGCTGAAGTTGCAACCACGCCCGTAAGACATCCCTTGCCCTCCAACCCCTTACCCAACCCACTAACCAACCACTTCCCAAAACCAGCGTCTTCTTCTCCCCCCTCACCTACCCTGCCTACCGCCACTATCCCAGCTCCTACCTAATGTGCGGGCGCGACATGGCCGTCCCCATCAAGCTGCAAATGCGCATGGCCGTTGGGGCCGGGATTGGCGGGGACCGGGTGGAGGTGCTGGAGGATGCGGGGCATTCACCGATGATTAGTTGTCCAGGGAAGGTTGTGGGGTTTATTCGGCGGGCGGCGGGGGAGGCACAGAGGCTTGGGGGAAGTGTTTTGTAAGGTGAATGGGGAGAACAAGGGGGGAGGAGGTTGGCGTATAGTAGTTAGGTGTGTGGAATTGGAAGCTGTTTGCTTTGGACTTGTATGACATTTACGAAACTGCTCTTCTTCACTTACTTCTGGCTTACAGCCCCGTAGTTGAGCGGATATGCATTGAGTTAGGTATTTAAATCTTATTTTTTTTTTTTTTTTTGGGCAGCAATTTGTCGCTGGAAACACTTTTCTGACTTTTTGAAAATACCATGCACATGCATTAAACACGGCCCCTTTACCAGCAATGTACTTTTATATATTTTACCCTCGTCCACCAACTCATAATCAAAATGCATAGAATAGAAAAAGCCTCTGAGACAGCAAGCTCGCAGCCTTCAATACCGAAATACAAAGAGGCCCGTTTAACCCTTTAACTGCCAAACACTCTTCTTAATCCGAGCCGTCTCTCTCGCAACCGACTCAAAAATCACCCCATCTAACTCTTTTCTTCTTCTTCTTTTTCTCTCTAATACCCGTTCAAGTTGCAATACTACATATTAGACTGACACCTCGACAGCTTCGGACGAGTCGAGTAATTGCATCTCTCCCCGGCCAGTTTCTCATAGAACCTGCCATCGGCGCATTTGCACCTATCACCACAGGGACCGCTGTTGGGGGATCTGATATATAGCAAGTTGGGTAGTTAGCTGACGTATACACAGTCTGCGACTAAAATTGTTGCACAACCTTGCTATACATGGTATTGAATAGAGACAGGGGCATTCTTACTCGTATGCACAATCGGTCAAGGGCCGATTATTTCGACGACTGCGCTCGAGCGTGGGGATCGGCGTGGATATAGACGTAGATGTAGACGTAGATGTAGATGTAGATGCAGATGCAGATGTAGATGTAGATGTAGATGTAGATGTAGATATAGATGTAGATGTTGCACGCGATTGAGTTTCAGTTGGATTGCTTGGCTGAGAAGAAGGGCTAGAAGTCGTGGTGGCCGTTGACTCCGTAGAAGGACTCGAAGTCGTAGTGACCGTCATGGTCACCGTGCTTGTCGTGGTCGTCGTGGACGTTGCTGAGGACGTTCCACTCGAGGCGCCTGTGGTTCCAGCGGACGTGGTGGTGGCATCCTCCATCATCGCTCGTGGGAAGTACTATTTAGACACGTCAATGATGGTGGTTGGTAAGAACGTGATAGGGTGGTATGGAGTCTATGGGTTGGATTCTGGGGGAAGGAAATGATCAAGGTAACTACTAACTCTTGGAGGAGAGGCAGGGAGCAAGCTTGGAGGACCACGACGGCATACGGCTCCGCGGCCGCTGCACCCATCCACTGCGTTTGCAAGGGGGATTGAGACGGAGAGGAGAGTTATGAGAAATAAACAAAACATGATGACGACTGCGGTGTCTGAGATTTCGAAATTGTATGTGCAATTCGCGACGGTCCTTCAACCGGCGATAGCTTGGAATGAAGAGAATGCTCGGTTGATGGGAAAACAGCCGTCACGGAGAAGGGGGACGTAGTTATAGGACAAGCAACTTATAAAGCTCTTCAGAGAAAAGTTCCTGAAAATGGGCCATGGTACCCGTGCCGCAGAGATCAGAGGTCGAAATACCCCTGAAGAAGAGAAAATGGGAATGATCTCCGTGGCGCGTCACGGATTTTTGGTAGGGATAACTACCAAATATTGAGTGTGCGACTATTCATCCAAAACTACAGCGACGAGAAGCCGATAATGGCGGGACTGAGGAAGTCGTTTTGTGGAAACCAATTTAGGAGACTCGGAATTCCAATGTCTTCCCAGCACTAATACTAATTGTTTTCCGGCCCAATTGGCATAACAAGAGGTGGATCGAAGAACTTCGTAGACGGCATGGTATATGAAGTTACGTATCTTTAAAGACCAACTAACTCACAGCGGCAACTGGCAAATCGCGGAGGAAGAGTGATGGCAATTCCGGTCACTATATTCTTTCCAAGCCTGTGGGTCAGGGTCCTCCTTGACGATATCTTGAAGGATTATACGCAATTTTGCTCGGAGCTGAGATTGCGACTCGTAGGAGAAAACTCTTCTGCTCATGCTGTCCAGCTTGCCCTGGCATTCCGGACCAGACTCTAGACTCTAGCTAAGCTCCGTGACGGATAGGATGTGCGGTACGTATGTATGTACGCACATGCATCCAGTCCGATATGGATTTCGATGCTAAAATGATCTACCGTGTCGATCAGTGTGGTAATGCATCGCCATCCAATAGCATTATAGCTTCAGCGCCATGGGCCTGGAAATTCCGGTTCGCACCGAAATATACCATGGGTGGAAGTCCCCGCAAGAGTAACTGAGCTACCTGAAAGCCGCACAAAATTAAGGGGCATGGCTGAATTCACGGGATAGATTGGGAATTGGACTGAGCAGTGAAAGGTTGATATGGACAAAGGAATAAGTTGCTGGAGAACGAACAAAGGAACATTGTCCAGAGGAGCTGTGGCCGAGTTAGTTTATCCTAGCTGCATGCAACTCACCGGATGAAGATTAAGGTTGCAGTTTTGAATAAGCCATTGTATCCCTCGGAAAGCTACTCCGTAGAGAATCTCTAAGGGAAACTCCCGGGGATTAGCGAAAAATACGTCCTGAATGCAGAATGCTCACCACAAGACAATCATTCAGTGATTTCAAAGGCTGACACCATGACCTGAGACGTGATTGCCGTGTTACAAAAGATAGCAGCTCGTAAGAGAGTTGATAATTCTTGGAATATATGGGCGACGGTGTGCATTCGTGTGTTTCGGCCTTGGTTTTGTCTGTTTCTTCTCCGCAAACCCCTGAAGCCACGTGGAAGAGGCTTGGCGTTTGACGCGTCAATCGCGCTTATATGAGACGGGGAAAACTAAACTCTTTTAGTCCTCAGGAGCCAATGATTAAAACTTCGTATCGCCGCCGCGGATGGTTACGGTCTGCGATTTACACTTCAGAGGCTTCAAAGAACTGCTCCAATTGTTCAGAAATGTTAGTTGCAACTGCCAGCCCAACTTCTGGAGACTTTAATTCCTTTGGGAGGAGCCGGAATCCGTACTATCACGGAAACTTCATAGTGTTTCATTGACAGCGGATGAGGTAAAAGAGATTTCTCCCGACATTCCTGACTACTGTCATGGCTGAGCATCCGGTCAGTGGCGGGATTTTTCTCGCCCCATGAATGCCAGAACTTGGTCATGGAAAGCATCGTTATTCAACGAGCAAAGGAATCATCCTCTGGATATCGGGACTCGGGGATCTCACACAGCCTTGAGCTATAGGTATTCCGTTGGTCGATTATTTGAGATTTTGCTGCTTTTGTAGCTGCTCAACAGAGAAGAATATTACGCCTCCCAAATGGCAGGACTGCAGGTCGATAAAGATCAGACCAGGCGGATTCATTCCCCTGAAAAGAACGGAAAATTCTCCTGCAATTTCAAGTCTTGGAATAATGTTGTCAACTGAGCAAACGGGGAGCTTTGAGGGTATTCCCGTCTGTGTATGTGTGTGTGTTGGGCAGGGACCTAGATCAAAGATCCCTATGAATTCTCTGGAGGACGCAAGGCGATGATGCCTTGCTATAAATACAGGCCAGCACTCATGCAGAGATCTGTTATCCTCTTAACAACATTCGTCACTGTTTTCGCTGAGCACATCCCTAGCACAGCAAAGTCGGGAAAGCGAACACCAGCTGCGATACACCACCAGAAATCAGATAACACAATCCGCCGCGTACCTCACGAAAGAGTTGGAAGGATTTGATGGTGACTACAATCAGTTCTCCTTCTTTGCAGTATCGAAAATCATAAACTTCTAAGAGTCACCGAGTTTTAGTTCCCCAGAAGAAATGGATGCCATATTCACTGAATATATAGGAGTGAGAAAAATGCTCCTGTACCGTAACAACCTACCCCAGCGGCCGCCCCAGTATCGGACATCAACTCGGGCCTCTATTGAAGCAATGCCGGAAAACGAGGAGGATCTAATTAAGAAAGTTCTGCAAACCCAAGAAGAAGCATGCGAACCGAAAGCTGCTGATGTTGCGATCTACGTCAACTACCCAGTATATGTGGATTATTCTCAGGGGCGATGGGAAGAGGCGGTGGAAAAACAGCTCGAAACCGTGAGAAATTCCACAGCAGCACAGGGGATTCCCAGTGCTATTAAAATCCACGAACGCCATATTCTTGGCATACTCCAGCTTGCCACGGAAGACAACACGTCCGCGGAGGAGAATTTGCTGTCCGTGCTGCATTCTAGAATGCAAAACTATTGGCCAATAGATCCCAAATTGGTCATGACTTGCGCCGACATTGGTCTAGCCCTGCTCGTCCAGGGAAAGTATGCAGAAGCAGAGCATATTATTCAAAAGGCGTGTCAGGACATTGGGATTCTGCCGAATCTAGAGGCGATCACGATTCTTAACAGTCTCGGATCGGCTTTGAAGAGCCAGGGAAAGTATCAGGAAGCCGAGCAGATATTTTCGCAAGCGTTCGAGCGTCGAAAACAAGTACCAGGGTTCTGCTATAGGGTTGCAGTTATGTCCGCTCTCGGTCTTCGGTCAGTACTAAACTGCCTGAAAAAGCATGATGAGGCAGAAGCAGTGGAGAAACAATTTGGAATTCCCCACGCCCTTCCATCAGTTTCGCAGCAATGGTGCCTGTTAGGAAAAGAGCATTGTAATTGTCATCATGTATTTGGGGATGGGAAGGGAGGAATCCGGAAGCCTCGCTCTGTTGCATGCAGATACCGGCTTTCCTCCAAAACTTCGAAATGACAATAGCAACACTTTCGAAACTGTTAGTGTACTGAGGAATGCCGGTCCTCAGAAATCCCGCCCTCCGCTCCCTATATTGGAAAGCCCTCTACCCCTCCCGTAGTTTTCTTCGCTCGCGAGTTTCGCATGTGCGTTAGTCTTCATATTCTGTTTCTGCATGCTGTGTGCTTCCAACCCCTAACCTAGGTATTGAATACCAACTACAATTCATTCTTTTGCGTTTTATTCTTCTCTATCCTTCCTCTAGTGTTCGCTGCCGCCTAAAGTACAGCTCTGCACAATTCCCATTTCAGCAGTGGCTGGATTCTGAATATGGTCGCGATAGTCCTTCTTTTAGTTAGTAAGATATGAGACGGGTTCCTTGCCGCGTCTAACCCCATCTAAGCTGTGCTCTTTAGACACTCACTGAACCCTATTCGTAACCCCGCCCGCCCGCCGCCGATCCGTGGAACTTTGCCATGAAAGGCAAATTATCAGAGACACGGTCTCGCCAATAGGGTGACCTGTGCCATATAGCAGAGTTTTCACTGGCGGTGGAGAGTTGGGAAAGAACGGGTTAATCAAGCCATCGCCTGCGATGTCAAATGTATAACATCCAACACATGTATGTACATACATGTTCGAAAGGAAAAGGTCATTATCATAAAATGTATATACGTACAGTACACGCAGCCTTGGATAGCTGGGTAATGTGGGGGAAACTGCACCAGCGGCTCCGAGTTTCCGTCAAAAGATATCGTCAAAAGATAAAGAAGAAAAACGTCCTGTCTAGCCCCGCTAGAAACGACCTATGTGACAAGGATGCAGAGTGACTAAAAATGCAAAAAAGCAGGAGGCAACAAAGGCCACCAGGTTTGTCAACCAATCCGTAAAAATCGCCAAAAATAAAAATAAAAATAAAAATAAGGGAGAGGGGGGGGGAGGAGGAGGGGGGCGGGGGGGGGGGGGGTTGATTGAAGGAAACTCCCCATGCAATTTTAAAACACCATCATATCTAGAAACAACTCAATATCCAAGTGACGGAATTCCAGCTCCAAAGCCGCAATCCCTCCGTGGCTGGAAGCCCTCCAACCGATTAGCAACGAAACTAACGTAGCCCGGAGTCCCATATTTGACCTTAGACAAGTCTGAAAGGTCGGGAACGCTCCCGCTGTTGTAGCAACGCAACATGGGACCATATGCATGGCCATATCTTTTGAAACATGCTGCAAGCCCCTCAGTCCTGCCAGTGCCAAAGACACCGGCCATGACCATATTTCGAATCGTTGACGGGTCGCATTTGCCCCAGGCGCTGCCTGAGCAGTCCGGGCTTCCAAGAGCTTGCATGATGCCTGGAGTTACACCATCACCCGCTGACGTGCGCACGTTCCCATTGGATTCTTGCATCATGACCGCGAGGATGATTCGGCTATTGTTTAATGAAAGGGGAGTGGTTAATTCAATTTTCCATTTGTTGCGTAGGGTAGACGGCCCACGATGCTGCTGCCTCCAGGAAATGTAGCTTGGATCGGGGAAGTTGAGAGATACCTATCAAGACCAGATGCTTCGGCAGCCTCTTCTATAGATCGCCGAATAACGCTCACTTCCTCTTGGCTGTTGAACATCAACATTATCTGTTTGTTTAATTCGAATAGCTCATTGAACGAAAGCCATTGGTCGATTGAGGGGAATTGGCTGCCAGTATAGCATAACGCTACTCCAACCTGCAGAGGATTTCCATCGCTTTGTGGATAATATCGATCTTGAATCTTAGTCGGTACCGCGGCAGCCAGGTTTAAAACCAGAAGAGAGAGAGAGAGGAGCTGTGATTTTCAAGTTAGTAATGTCCATCATAAGAAGACTGGGACGAGGGCGGCAAGTCGTACCGAAAGGAAAGCCATTGTAAAATGGTTTGCTAATAGTTACAGATGAACAGAACGGTCTCTAGGCCAGCCACTAGCTCGTAGATGGTTGTGAGATCGAGGGATGTATGTGTATGTTCAGGTCTTCACGTCCCCCTAGATGGGGATACTAGAAGTTTATATAGCTGAACCTGGGAGCCATTCAGAGCTGAGGGCCGAACATGAAACGGCCGTCATCCTCCATAGGCCCATCAAGCGCCATGCTGCATTGCATGTTGAACATGCAAGCTGAAAACAATAACCCTTTCAAGCAGGGTTTTCTCCGGCGGATATGATTGGGCCCGCCCAAGCCCCCTCACCCCTCAGCCCCCCCACCATAGAGAACTATTCTGCGCCAGCACAGGTTGTCGGCCACGTTCCTGGCAGAGCGTTTGCGCACGTCCCCAACACCATCTACCCGAATCCAGATTAGCTGATTATAGCTGCGGCTAAACATACTGAAGCATTCGTATGTGCCTTGCAGCTTCACATGAATTTGATCCGCGAGGATGTGCGCCCAAAATACTCTGTTTGCAGAGTCGCCGAAACGTCACTGTAACCAGGCGACAGTGCGAATGAGGGAGGTTTGTTCACATAAACCATTCACCACATTTTACCGGTTTGCTGCGGTTTTGAGGACACCCAGGCAGACTATTATTAGCGTTTTGACCCACACTAGGTAACAAGAACGAAAAGTCCCCTGCTCCATTCAGCGGGTTTTAACTGGATTTAACAAAGTCATTCAGTCGAACAGCGCGGTTATGGTTCGCAGCACTAACTTGGTTAGGCTAAGTTCTCACGGTCCCACAGAACAGACTCGGCCCTTCTCTGTAGGCCAGAACAATAAGCCTAACGAGATGCAAGCTGGGCCTGCACCACCAGAGCTCCGCAAGGCTGAGGATACCAAGAAAATGCTTTTTTTAGACCCGCTCACGAAAAAGAACGGAGAGCTGAGGAAAAATAGGATCTTTCTTGTTCAAGAAAGAATTTAGACCCCTGAGACACTGGGAAGTCTTGATGACTGATTGATTCATGCAAAGACAGGCTTGAGACAGGCCTGACTCAAGGAACCGTGGGAAAATGACCCGGATATATTATTGTCGATCAACTCGGTCGTTCTCATTTTAAATTGATTCTGGACATTGCGACCCTGGACATATTGGTGACCAGCATCAACGGTTAATACTGAAAATCCGAAGGCTCAAGGATTCGATACGGTAGAACAAAACGGTGGGAAGTTGGACTCGAAGATGGCATCGTAACTAACTAACTTTGCTAGCCCAAAGCTATTTCCAGGTACAGCCACCAGCCATAGGAGTTTGGTTTGAACGGAGTTTTCTTGTCTTTGTTGGCTTCATTCTTTTGTGCGATTTGAAACCGAGAACATACAATACTCTGCGATGTCTCTGCAGTCTCTCTGATCACGAAATAGGTATAGGGACCGAAAAGCGATCGGATTCTAAGTTGAAGAGGCTGGGAGTGGAGCCTGTGAGAGAGGAGGTTGGGGGTGGGCCTGTTCCAGCTGGGTAGCTAGAGACGTTGGTTGAAGCATTTGGAATCAGTTCCACTTATGCAGTAGTTATAGCGCCGTCGGATAAGTGAGGCCATTCGGAATTCGCTTCTAGCGCCCGCATAATCTTCCTTATTTTACGTATTTTCCGCGCTTCGAGATCAAGATCCACGATAGCCGAGCGTATGTAAATATTTAATGCTTTCTTCCTCTTTCTCGACCTCGCAGTGTCGACAATGATTCCAATACATGTGGCAACCCGAAACATTTCCCAGCCCCCTCGAAAGAAATTTTCTTCCGGGCATAGATCCAGACGACTCTGATGCTTCGCATCCATTCATCCATCCATCCATCTATTGCGCCGTGCCAACATTGTTGGCCACGATAAATATAAGCAAGAGGAGAGAAGAGGCCCGTGTTTCGGATTCGTCAGGTTAACTAATCGTTCTTCTTCGCCGCTTCCGTGCTATTGAAACATTCCAAGGGCAAGTCTCACTTCGACATGTCGCGACCTCAAACCGCCGAAGATCTTGTGGTATTCTCCGTGAAATAAGTATATGCCGGCAAATTTTCCGAACCTGAAGATTTTCGTCGGTATTCTTCGTGCTTCGCCGATGAGTCGACTCTCCTTATGACGGGACAGCGTCTTTCCGTTTTCTGAAGCTGAACCTTTCAGCAAATCATATTGGTATTATGAGCTGGTGTATGCATGCTGCTGTTTGCATCAGGCGAAATGCTGATAGCGGCGATGATCCCATATAAAGAGGGCGAGCAAGTTACCTTTGAAGGAGCTGGTGCATTCAAAATACTGCGGTGGATCTATCTGGTGCATTGTCAAGCTAAAATGCATCATTTGTGGTTAACTGGCGCCATCCTTATTGAAAAATTAACATATTTCTTTACCTAATTTCTACCACGAAATCGTTATATTTGGGGGGGGGGAGGCGGCGGTAACGGGGTGCTTGCCAGTAAAATCTATCTTATCTCCAATGGTCAGTTGAAGGGTTTCGATCAATACTAATATCTCCATTCACCGCCGAGATGAAATGTCTTTTCAAGATGGAATACGCAAGACGAACAGTGCATACTACTGGGGAGTTTGTTAGCACCTAAGAAGTCTAACGGCCGCGACAACATGGCATATGACTTTTCGGACAGCGCCCAGTTGGATAGTGGAACTGGACAAGACGTGAACTCAGAAAGAGATTGGTTCTCTAGATTAAGAACCACGTCAATCAGTTGGACAGTTGAACAGTTGGCAGTTAATCAGGTCAGGTCATGATCAGAAAAACTCCTCCGTAACTGAGAGAAAATGACTCGAAAACATCTCTCAGGGGTTGCTGCTCTGTTGGATAAAGGAATCATGAAAAAGGTGTCTCCAGGGGGTTTGGAATGCCATATCCACTCTACAAAATGCATTGGTGATACCGAACTTTGATATCACAAAATTCAACGTCTGGATATTGGACTATGCCAGTCAAATGCGCTGGCCAACCCTAGTCCAAGCGATGCTTGTGATTATAAGGAGAGAGACTAACCTGCGTGAAACACTTCCTGGTTCATCATAGAGTCTCCAAAGAAGGCGTTCTGCCAGAGCTTCCGCTTATGAAGGAAGCTTAAGTTTGATGCTCTCAGACCAGTCCAGCACCTTGAATGAGTGTCATATGTCTTTGTTGGATTCCCAATGCTTTGGGTGCCAGCCTGCAAGTGCCCAGTCGACAACTCCCACAATTCTACCATTGCAAATGATAATATTCCGTGGGGCTAAATCTGAACGTGTCTCTCTCGTTAACTGCCTGAGACTCCCCGATAGCTTCGAGGATTGCCTCCGGGCAATTTCGCAGCTGAACGGTTTTCAGTTCACCAACTACATTGCCGGTAGTGGTCTCAGGGGTAACCCAATTCGGGGAAGTTGGACACAGGATCAACCAACCGACAGATGGGGGTGTATTCGCAACGAATGATTCCCCGTAGTTAATCGCTGAAGAGATGATACTGGTGCTCCATGTTCCTTTTCACCATGCAACACCGCTCCAGCGATCTGGAAAGCGGAGGGGTTTGAAAAGGGGTAAGTAGTAGACAGGCTTCTTTACCCTCCCGGGAATGTGCTGATATAAAAGTAGTAGATGGTAGATACAAAAGAAAGAGCGCCATATGCATCGTGCAGATGCTGTCTCACATTTTCAAGGCCCCAAGAAGGGATAGCAAATGGAGGTCAACTGATGTAGAAGTGGATACGCCAATCTCTTCCTCCAGGAATTCGTTAGTTCCTTCACATAAATCTAGGATTGTCGTAGAAATATAATGAAAACAGTTTTGCTCGAAGCTACGATACCTAACTGCATGGGTTTTGGTTAGGGATATATGGATGATGGATATAGTAGGAGAGAAAGAAGGCGGTTGGGAAAGAGAAAGAGGGAGATGTTGATGGGTGGAAGGGGGTCTTTATAGCCAGCTCCTGGGGACAATAGGGGTGAAGCCGCCTGTCTCTTGAGATGGAGAACAGATATGTACGGTGTTACATAAGATTATTGTATTATAATCTAGAGGTAATAAAACGGGAGGTAATGCAGATATTTGGTGAGTGGAAAAGCATAGCTTTAAGCAGAAATTTCGTCAAATTGAATACAAAATTCAACGACACCATTGCAATTGTGGTTGGAAAGTATGGAACTTTGAGATATCTGAGTAGCCCGGCCAGTTAATAGAGCCACGAAAACGGGGAAAATCTTAGACATGGTGGGAATCTGTAACGCTTTCCCCATACCCCCAGAGCCCCAGGTAAACCTCAACTAAATTTCTTCTGCAGCCCCCTCCCATCCCTTTTGCCATCACTTCCCTCCCCCTCCCCAGCCGCCTTCACATTATAAACATCCAACGAATTCAACGACAACCCCAAAAACGCATGCTTATTCCGCCACCTCACCTGACTCTCCGCAAACCCTTCGACATAAGCCGGTTGCGGCGGCGGATCCGTAATCTTGGTGATGAGATACGCCGTTGATGCCTCCGCGATGCCGTACATAAGCACGCCTAGCAGGGGGATGCGGAGCATGGTGTAGAAGCCGACAGCGAAGCCGAAGAGGACGCCCTCGCGGTCGTGGAACCAGAGGCGTTTTTGCGATTTGGTGAATTTTATGCGGGTGAAGTAGGGTTCGAGCTGGGTGGGGTAGTGTTAGCCCCCCAGGTTGGTGGGGGAGGGAAAAGGAAATTAGCCCAAGTTTTTTTTCGGGCTTTTTAAACTTTTAAAAAAAAAAGGGGGGGGGGGGGGGGGGGGGGGGGGTAAGAAATCGGGTTATCTGTTTGCTAATCCTTACAAGTTCCCGCATCAAACTCCTCGACGAAAAGTATGTCTGCAGAAACATCACCAGGAACCTCCTCGGGACAAACAGCCCCGACCCAAAGATGACAAGCGCCGGCACCGTTCCCACCGCCTTATTAAACGTATAAAAGCTGGCTGAGGGAAGCACAAACCGCCCAATGACTGGGAGCAGCGAGAGCAGATAGACGGCGACGGAGAGGACTGTTTTCCGCCCGTAGCGGGTCACGAAGGCTTTGAAGGACGATGCCAAACTGCCCTTACCACCAGGCTCCTTGGATGACATGGTAGAGAACATCCTGAGATTGGGGTAATAGAGTGCCCGCAGCCGCTCAGGGTGGTCCGATTTGTGCTTTTGCATGTATGTCATGTCGACCCATTGGAGGGATTCCATGAACCTTTTTTTGGAGGAGATTAGTTGACGTGGTAAATAGTAAGTGAGCGCGGTGCCTCTCAGGACATACATATCATCGAGGGTCGGGGTGACATAACGCATCAATGTCATGAGTAAGAATGGCACCTGCAGGACGTATGTGGATATGAAGTCCAGCCTGCTAAGGACGATGTCGTCCCATGTTGCTGCCTCCAGATCGACGACCCAGGAGAGGAGCCATATTCCGAACTTGACAGCGATGACCTGCCATATAAAACATGTTAGTTTAGCGATTGCCTTAGTGACTAGTTAATAGAATTGGGGGTGCATCTGAACACACCGGAATGGAGATGATAAGGCGTATGGCAATCCCCGCACAAACCGCCAGCGCCGCTTGCCTGTAATGCTCCGACTTGAAGAGGGAGGGATTCTGCAGAGCTCGATGGGCTAACTATCAGGAATGTCAACCAGCGACGATCATTAGCCAGGTGCATCCTCCCACATCGCTGTAGTCATGGAACGTATCGTCCCTGCATGTCCACACGTTTGCCCGAAGCAATGATCCGCACGACATGCAAATTCAGGCGAAACGCGATGCGTCCAGTCTTGACTACATGGAAATGAGCAGCAAGGAGAGGACTAACCGCCGACTAGCGTGAGCTGGGCCCCGCGAATGATTGCATTTGGCTCGAAATTCGACATGGGTGGACGGCCGTGGAATAGGGGCGGGCACTCAGATAATATGTCAACCATGCAGCAAAACCAGCCAACCAAGCAAGGGAGAGGGGATCTTGCAGCCTGGTAGTCAGTGAACTACCAGGACACGATTACGATCTGGCGCACAAGAAGTGGGGTCTCCTCGAGATTGTTAGTTACATAGAGAGCAAGTAACCAGGGCTGAAGCAGCCAAGGTGTTAAAACATAACTACAGCTGAAGGATTCCCGCCTGCCGCGGCTCGAAAACCGCCCCACCCCAAAATCTGCCCCTGGCTGCCCCGTAGTTACATAACCCACTGCAACAGGGAGACAGACATCTCAGACTCCCTCAGACTCCCTCAGACTCCACTCGTTCCCTCTGACAGACATCATCCCCGTCGATCCACTCCTTTCCCCTAACTCACACTCCTTTTGTATCTTTGGTTGCTGCACATCTACACATCCAACTACATACATCCAGCTCATTCCTCCTCAGTTCGCCCCCCTTTCCATTCCATGTCTATGCTCCCTTGGTCAACTGGCTCCGCCCCCCCCCCCCCCCCCCCGATAAGTTTAAAAAAAAAATAAACTAAATAAACCACCCCCCCTGGGTT